ATATCTAGGAGATAATCAAGTCAAAGTTTCAAACTATATGCAAGAAAATGGTCAGAGCTTGGGGATAAAGTTTTAAATTACTAGTTCATAGATGGAAACAGGAGGTATAGATTTCTCTGTGAGAGTGTACATACAAAAAGAAGAGCTATCAAGAAGAATACCAAAGCAGTTCCACGGGGAGAAAACAGTCTTTTTAATATACTAAAAAGGTTGAATCCAGCCTTGATGGTACACAACAAGGGGGAAAAAACCTAAAACAACAAAAACCCCATATGATATCTACCTATAAAAGAATGAAGTTGGACCCCTACCTCACACCATATCTGTATCAGTATAAACCAAAAGAATAGGCAAGAAAAAAATAGATATATCTGATCACACCAAACTGAGAAACTCGTGGTGCTAATGATATCATCAAGAAGAATCACCCATGGTGAGCTCTGGTGGGCTAGTGGCAAGAAGCTGCACTGCAATCCCAGAGGTGTGCAGTTCGAATCCACCAGATTCTCTGCTGGAGAAGGAGGACAATCTCCTCCTGTACCTGTCAGATCCAATTTGACAGTACACACATATACACAAATAATAATAATTTTTTTAAAAAAGAACACCAATGAAAGAACTTTTCTTTTACTTTGCAAAGAGAGGAACAAACTGTGGGGGGAGGGCTGGGCAGGGAGAAAAGTGCAACCATGAATGAATGGAAATCCAAAATCTCTGTAAATTCTTTAAAATTAATAAAATAAATCAATAAAATAATTTTTTTAGGTTTTCAATTTATTTTATTTATTGTGATTTGAGTGAAAGTTTACAAGTTAATTAATTTTCCATGTAACTATTCATACACACTTTGTTTTAGAAAATTAATTATAATACTTACAATACAATCACTCTCTTTGCATTTCTCTGTAGTTTACTTCTTTTTTTTTTTAAATTTAGGTTGTTTATTTTTCATTTCAATGAACATCTACAGAGATTTTGGGATTCCATTCATTCATTGTTGCACCCTAATAAAATAATTTTTAAAAACCCAATCACCCATAGGATGGGATAAGTTATTCTTACAAATAATTTATATGGTTTAAAAGTTAAAAAAAAAAGTCAAAGCCATTGCTGCGGAGTCAGAATTGACTCATGGCTCACCCTCCTGTGGGTTTTCAGAGGCTATGAGCTGCACCAGAGGAGACTATTCATCTTTCACTTGGACCCACGAGTGGATTCCAATTACCTCTCTCTCTGAGGTTTGCAGCACAACACTCAGTGGACTGTACCTGCCACCAGGGCTCCCTGTATATCTGCTAAGGGTCTAACATATAAAGAACTCTCTACAACTAACACAGCAATAAAAAGATAAATAACCCAGTTAAATAATGGACAAAAGATTTGAAATTATAATCCCATGAGAACATGCTCAACATTATTAGTCATGCAGGAAAGGCAAATCAAAGGCACTTTTGGTAAATGAGATAACACTCATACCAGAAGACTATAACCAACAAGTACTGACGTGATGTGGAGAAACTGGAACCTCATTCATCACTGATGAGAATGCAAAGTAATGCAGCTGTGTTGGAAAACAGCTTGGTGTTTCCTCAAGTGGATAAAGACAGAGTTATTACAAGACCTAGCAATTCCAGTTCTAGGACTATGCCACCAGAAAATCAAAGACATATATATCCACACAAAATCTTATACATGAATGGTCTGGAGTACAATCCATAATGGTAAAAAGTATGGGGGGAAAGCCCAAGTATCCATTGACAGGTAATGTACTGACATATTCTACAATAAGGATAAATTTAAAAAAATATATAGTAAAGCTAAACATGAATGGCCATGTATTTTATGAGCTCTGGTGGCTTAGTAGTAAGGAGCCGTGCAGCCAACCTAAAAGCATGCAGCTGGGGCTGCGGGAGAAAGCTGGACAGTATCCTCCCAGGTGACGTATTGCCTTTGCAATGGAGAGTCAGCTATGAGTCAGTTCCCATTCGAGGATCCACAACTACTACTTTGCATTGACCAGAATAGGCAGAGGAAACTCTGCTGACATGGTCCTTAGAGAGCTGTGCTACTAACCCAGAGGCAGTGCCTCTGGCAGTTCGAATCTACCAGCTGCTCCACAGGAGAAAAGTCAGAAATCTCTTCCCTTGGGACTTACAGCCTCCATAAATCTGCTGGAAGGCCAGCTTTGAGTTCGTTCAGGCTCAACTGCAAAGTGCTTTTGAGGGAATAGGCAGTGTGACAAAGTAGATTAGTGGCTGCCAGGTTCAGGGGGTGAGGAAGGGAGAGAAGGAAGGTGCATGGCTCCTAATGAGAGTGACAAAAATGTTCTAGAATGAAGTGACAGTTGCATAACTTTCTGAATATACTAAAAATCACCAAATTTTAGACTTTAATGGGTAGAGTTTATGGTATGTGAATTACATCTCCAAAAAAAAAAAGGAGGAGAAAGAGTAGAAAAGAAGAAAAGTAACAAAACAAGATGTCATGGAAGAAGGAAAAATGGTTTCAAAAACGAGGAAAACAGTAAACAGTGTTGAAGTTTGCTGAGAGGCTAAGAAAGGCAGCCATTGAATTTGGCAATGTAGACACCCGTAAGTTTTGCTGATGGTGTTAGCTGCTTCATGTGAGCTGGGACTCATAGTGACCCTATGAAGAACAGATCTGAACCTTGCCCTGTGCTCGCCCTCCTCACAATCTCTGTCATACTCAAGCCCACTGTGATAGTCACTGTATCAACCCCTCGTATTGAAAGTCTTCCTCTCTTTCTCCGACCCTTCATCTTTCCCAGAATGATGCCTCTCTCCAAGGACTGTTTCCTCCGGAGAACATGCCTAGAGTAAGTGAGATGAAGTTCCACCATCCTTGTCTCTAAGCACACACTTATCTCTGGTTGCACTTCCTTCAAGAAAGATTCCTTTGCACTTTTGGCAGCCCATGGTATATTTAATACTCGATGCCAAAATCACAATTCAAAGGCATCGATCCTTCTTCATTCTTTTTTATTTATTATCCAACTTGCATAGGAAACACTTGCAGAAAACTCCATGACTTGGATCAGACATACCTTAGACTCTAAAGAGACATTTTTGCTCTTGAGAACTCTGGAGAGATCCCTGACAGCAGATTTCTCCAATGCAAGATGTCTTCTGGTTTTTAGCAAGGACAAATTTGGTGTGCAAGTGGGGCCTGAAGTCAGACCTGGCCCTTTGGGGCTGGTGACTGTATCCAGGAGATGGACAGTGACAGCAGCCTACAGGTGAGGCTGTTCCCACAGGTCAGAGGCCAGCACCACACCAACCTCACATCCTCCCTCCTCCCTCTGGCTTGCAGTGAAAGATCAAAGAGAAACTGGAAAGGAAATGTGATCATAGATTTCTCTTCTGGTTTTCTGAGGGCGTTATTCATAGCAGAGAGGGAGGAGCCACAGCCTCACGGGTAGTCAGGTCAGGTGGTTTCCCAAACCACCTTTATCTGCTCCTCTATTCTGGGTGGAGATGGTTGAGTAACCGCTTTGAGAGCGCGTTACAAGTCTATTTTCTGCTCCCTTCTTTGGAAGGATTTGTAAATCAGGGTCACTCTGGCCAGGGCGGGCAGCCACACCCCGGATTCCAGCACTGCACTTAACGGCAGCTCCGAGGCGGCGCCCTGCCTGGCCTGTGATTACGCAGACTCCAGCCCTGCCTACCCAAGCCGCCCGCGAGAGGCTAAAAGCTGGCGCAGACGGGGCTGGATGTGGTAGCAGCGCCCCCATCGCCTGGCCTCCCGAGAAAGGGAGCCAGCGCCCAACCACAGATGGCCTCCTGCATCACTGCCCAGCGCAGCAGTTGGTAGCTGGCTCAGATTCGGGACACACCGAACAGGGGAAGGGTCCGGCTCTCAGGCCTGGGACAGGCTCCTGGGAGCTCAGCTCCACGTCTCCAACAGCGCCCCAAACAAGAGTTCTGATTCCTGACTAAGTCTCAGGGAGTATGCTGTCTTGAGAACACTTCCTTTAGATTGTTTAGCTGAGGGGAACCCACCAGCAATGACTGCTCGCCCCACTATTAATTCAGCATTGTTCTGGAGGTTCTGGCCATTCCAGGGAACACCAGGGCTCCTTGGAGAAATGGCTGACTCCACATCTGGAATGCACAAATGAGGCTAAAATATCTTAAACCGGCAAGTAAAAGTGAAAGGGAGTAAGTACATAAAGCGGTTACACATTAAAAAGAGGCTGAATTATTCTTTGAAGATAATGAACTACCTAGAAAACGCGATGAGAGTGAAACTGATTACACAGCTCTAAGAGAAGTACTCAAAGTTACTGAAATGTGCAGGTAGAAACTGGAGTTGGTGAATGTTTTTGCTGTATACTCAACAACCAGTAAAAGAAATTATTTTTTAAAAATAAAATACTGTAAGAGAGTAGCTCAGATGTTCATATATTTGGGCACTGGGCTAGGCAAGGCAATTATAAGGATAAACACATAATTAACTCTTATGGCCTTAATTGCTATCCCAAAAGTTATAAATTAACATAAGAATAAATAGTTTTCCCCGGAGAGCTTTAATCAACAGTTACATAATTATATAAACAGTTTATATATTATAAGATATAGTTGGGAAACAGTCTATTCACAATGATCGTAAAAATAACCCTCTAAAATAGTAGGATTAAGCTTTACAAATATAGAAAACTTATGTGAAGAAAACGATAACGTGTGTGTGTGTGTGTGTGTGTGTGTGTGTGTGTGCCATCAAGTCAGATCCAACTGGAACAGGAGAAGACCACCCATCCTTCTCCAGCAGAGAATCTTGTGGATTAAAAACTATAACTTTCAATGACATAACAGAAGACTTTAAAAAAGTGATGATTGCTGCTATCTGGGGGACAATGCAAATTAAAAAAAAACAAACAAAAAACACCACACAACAACCAGATTCACCTCAACTTATAAATGTAACCCAGGCCTAATAGGACATGTGTTCTTGATAAATTAATTTCTTTACATTTCACCTACCTAGAAGACTACACATGTAAGAATAGGAAAATTTTGGACGGCGGCGGCGGTGACTCAGGGGCCGGGTCGTCGAGCAGCGGTGGCGGCCGCGGCGGGCTACTACGGAGCAGCCATGAGGGCCGGGCCCAGTCATCGACAGTTCGCCCTTCATCTCTTCATATATTTATTGAAGATATCTCCTTTTTTAAAGCTGCTATCACCTTCTACTCTTTTGGAGGATTCTTCTCACAGCATGTCTGCAAATGTGAGTGACTTCCTCATGTTGTGTTGGTGCCAATCTGCCATGCTAGCCTGTCTACAAGGGCCAGGTGACCTGTCCTTTCAGCTTCTTTCTCACACGCAGATGAACACTGGACTTCAGAAATGGGACACTACACAGAAAATGAGAACTGCTCACTATCCTACCCCAGCTGAATTGGATGCGTATGCTAAGAAGGTTGCAAACAACCCACTGACTATAAAAATCTTCCCCAACAGCGTGAAGGTTCCCCAGCGGAAACACGTCCGTCGTACTGTGAACGGCCTCAACACATCAGCCCAGCGCTACAGCCCTTACCCGACTCAGGCTGCCACCAAGGCAGGCCTGCTTGCCATTGTTAAAGTGCCAGCCAAAAGCATACTCAAAGACTTTGACGGCACCCGAACCTGGTTGCTCCCTGAGGCCATCACGAACCCCCCAGTGGCACCCTATGCTACTGTGGCACCTAGCACTTTAACCCACCCCCAGGCCCAGGCTCTGGCCCGCCAGCAGGCCTTGCAGTATGCACAGACCCTGGCCCATGCTCCTCCCCAGACGCTGCAGCACCCTCAGGGTATGCCTCCACCCCAGGCGCTGTCCCATCCTCGGAGCCTCCAGCAGCCTCAGGGCCTGGGCCACCCACAGCCTATGGCCCAAACCCAGGGCTTGGTCCATCCTCAGGCCCTGGCCCACCAGGGTCTCCAGCACCCCTCCAACCCCTTATTGCATGGAGGCCAGAAGATGCCAGACTCAGATGCTCCCCCAAATGTGACCGTGTCTACCTCAACTATTCCCCTTTCGATGGCGGCCACCCTGCAGCACAACCAGCCACCGGACCTGAGCAGCATCGTGCACCAGATCAACCAGTTTTGCCAGACGAGGGCAGGTATCAGCACTACCTCAGTGTGTGAGGGCCAGATCGCCAACCCCAGCCCCATTAGCCGCAGTCTGCTCATCAATGCAAGTACCCGTGTATCGACCCACAGCGTCCCTGCACCAATGCCTTCTTGTGTGGTCAATCCCATGGAGCACACCCATGCGGCTACAGCTGCATTGCCTGCCACAGGCCTTGTCAACCTGCCCACAGGCATCTCTCGTGCCCCTACTGGCTACCCTAGCGACCTCAAGTCAGTCGCCTGGAACCAGCACCAGCTGGCCCACCTACAGCAGATGTGCAGCGAGGCTGGTGGGACATCAGCAGCCCCTAGCCTAACAGGCAAGCATGCAGCAGGACGTGAGTTGGCAGGGCCTGGCTTTGTGGGCAAGCCCCCTGCCTACCCACAGGAACTCTGCCTGGCACAGTCCTTCCATCTGAAGCCACCCTTGGAGAAGCCAACCCCATCCCCACCAGTCAGTGGCCTGGCAGCTCCCCTGGCCTACCCCAATGGTCACTATTTTCAACCCCTGTGGAACAACATTCTGTCCACTCCCAATAGCGACAGCTCGGGCTCTCAGGACCTCACCATGCCCTTCCATGGTGGGCAGCCTGCAGGTGCACCCCTCGACTGTGCTGCTGCTGGGGCCCACTACCGAGCAGGGACCGGGGGCGGTCCAGTGGCCAGCCAGAACAGCTTGATGTAAACAGTGGATTACCTAAGTGGGGATTTCCAACAGGCCTGCTTCCGAGAACAGAGCCTGGCCATGCTGAGCAAGGCCCACCGTGCCCCTGGCAGTCGTGCCCCTGATCCCACAGATAGTCGAAGTCTTCATATTCAGCACCCAGGGTGCAGATAGGTAGTCCTGGTGCCCTCCACAAGATATACAACATACATCACCCCCTCCTAGGTTTAGTCTTACTTTTGAGTAACTGGATAGTTTTAAAGGTTTTTGCTCCTCCAGTGTGATCATTCTTTGATGTCTGAGAAAGGGAATTTGGCAGGATCTAATTGAGGGCAGAGGTAGACCAGACCCTTGGAGCCCTCATACTCCTCCAGCCCCAGCAGGCTTTTCTCTCCCTCCTGTCAGTCCCTCCACTGTGGCCATCCCCCAGCAGCTTCCTGTCTTTGCTTCTTTCTCTTAAGACAGATAAGGACTACGGGAAGGACCCTAAAGTGATGTAGGTGTCCAGCCCCTTAAGCTAGACTTCTCCCTCTGCTCCTTTTTAGGACTAAGAAGCCAGACATTCCAAGTCTTTTGGGAACCAATTCCTTTTTCACCCAAAGACTTCAAATTGGAACCAACCCATCTTCATCTCTCCATTCCTCAAGACTTTGTTTTGCATATTTACCGAGCCCACTGCCACTATCCTTGCCCCTTCTACTTCAGGGGCGTCCTGCAGACACTTAGCCATAGTCTTGGGACATGGAAAAGTATGTATTGGCATCTTGGTTTCTTGTTTCCAGCCTTAGATAAATTCCATTCTGGAGGCTAGAAGTTAAAATCAAGGTGTTAATAGAGCCATGTCCATTCTTGAAGTTCCCAGGAAGAAGTTCTCCTTGTCTTTTTCTACTTTCTAGTGGTTGCTGGCATTCCTTGATATTCCTTGGCTTGTAGTTACACCACTCCATCAAGTGTTCCTAAGATCCCTTTCTCACTGTTGTGTCTTTCCTAACTTCCAAGCTGCCCTTCTCTCCCAAGCTCTCCTCAAACAAAAAAATTATCTTACTCATGGAATTAGGTAGGTAAGGGATGATCACACTGGATTCTGGAATTAAAAACACCAAAAAAAAAAAAAGTTAAAATGAAAAAAAAAAAGAATAGGAAAATTTTAGAGGGAAAGTTCAGCCTTGAGCACTATGTTCTTTTAAAAATTATCTAAGAGTTCCAAAATAAAATAGTAACTCAAAAGACAAAATGGGAACCTTAAGGGGGCAGTGAGTTTATGCTGGTGGGGGAAAAACTGCTTAAAAAAGGAGGATGAGAATGGCTACACAATGTAAAGAACATAATCGGTGTCAATGGTACATGAAGAAACTGTTGAATTGGTATATGTTTTGCTGTGTATCTTCTGAACTACAACAAATAAAACTATCTTTTTATAAAGGAATAAAAAGATAGCAAAATTTTAAAGAAGACAAATAATGCAAAGTTGTTTTTAAAAACAAATGTTATGCAAACAATAAATGCTGGCAAGGTTGGGGAGAAACTGGGACCTTTACCCACTGTTGGTGGGAGTGTAAAATGGTGCAACCACTCTGGAAGGCGATATGGCGCTTTCTCAAAAAGGTGCAAATAGAGATTCCATTTGACCCAGCAATTCCACTACTGGGAATAGACCCTAAAGAAACCATAACCACCACCCAAGCAGGTATATGCACACTCATGTTTATGGCTGCATTGTTCACAATAGCAAAGAGATGAAAACAACCCAAGTACCCATCAAAAAAACGAATGGATAGAGAAGCTCTAGTATATTCACAAAATGGAATACTATGCAGCATTGAAAAAGAAGAAACTCATGAAATAATATACAAAATGGATGACCCTAGAGGACATTATACTGAGTGAAATATCTCAGTCACAAAAGGACAAATACTGCATAAATGCCACTGTTATAAAATAGGACTGACATCAGGATTGGGGAGAAACTAAGAAAAGAGGGAACAAATAATGTACACTACATTGAAACAGATGAGGGAGAGAACTGCTTAAATGGAATATATGATTAGGTATTATTTGCATGACAACAGTCCAGAATAAGAGCTGCATAGTAAAGTTGGACTGGGGTGGGGGATTGTACAACAATTAAAGAACTTTTTATTTATTTATTTATTTTGGCCATATCCATAAGCACTTTATTACACAGATCTGGGAGAGAGCAAGTCATCTCCAAGACTCCTCCCCCTATTTTATTATTTTTTGTGTAGGTACCGTCAAATCTGATCTGACTGCTACAGGAAGAGATTGTCCCTCCTTCTCCAGCAGAGCATCCGGTGGATTTGAACCACGTACCTCTGGGCTTGCAGTGCAGCTTCTTGCCACTAAGCCACCAGAGATCGCTGATTTTTTTTTTCCAAAGAGAAAAATGAACTGGTGGGAGGAAGGAGTGGGCAGGGAGGAAAAGGTGCAAAAATGAAGGAATGGAACCAATCCATGTTTTCTATAAACTTTCATTAAAATATCAATTAAAAAACCAAACCTGGCTGTCTGGCCTGGCGAGTCACACTCACAGAGACCTAGCCTGAAAGGAGAATGGGCTTCACTCTCTATCTCGCCACGTCTGGCCCTTCTAGTGGTGTCGCTGTGAAGAAAGTGGTTCAGCTGCTTTGACTGGAGGCTGGGCTCCACCCCGTCAAGGTTTCCCAGGCAGTTGCGGATTTGAAACAATTCTGTCTGCAGAATGCTCAACATGACCTCTTACTGACTGGAATATCTTCAAGTACAAAGATTTCCTAAACCACTCTTAAGAACCAGTGAATATTCAAAGGAGAGCTAAATAGGAAGCCTGTACAAAAGCTTATCCTTACAACACATGTGCCACAATATACAGATTTCTACTTTTGTCAGTTCTTAACATCTACCTCTCTGAATTTTCATAAGTTTCTATTTCACAAGGGTAGTAATTCTTTTATATACACTGGTAGCCACATATAATAAAGTCCTTGATACAAAAAACAACCACCAAATTTTATCTGATGTCAAACAAACTAAGTGCTAAAGAATTATAATATTTAAGTATTTGCTACCTTAAGAAAAATTCATAGATTAACAGAATTTAAGGGGAAATCCAGAAGATAACCTATGGATAAATGAGAATATAGTATGTAGCATAGTATGTAACAAAGGTGTTTATTATAAAGGTGAAGATAGTGCAGAATAGGGCAGGGTTCAGATCTGTTGGTCATAGGGCTGCTATGAGTTGCAGTTGACTTCTTGGCACCTAACAATAAAAATGAAAGTGTTTAAGGTAAAAGAGAAATGTATAGTCTCATAAATGGTATTTAAGAAATTACTTG